TAATCAGGGCAAAAAAAATGTAGCTGCCCATACAAAGGCAAGATGCCTTTCACCTGTATGAAAAGTATGGTCACTGATGCATTCAGCATCCCAGATTATGAGAGGGATGTCTGACTGCAGGTTTAGGCCTGATCCCTAGGACCTATACAGCAGTCATACATCCCCTGAGGGCACAGGCCGAGCTGAGGGACAGCCCCCTCCCCTGCACAAATTTCATGCACTGGGACTCTAGTTGTAAATAACACTGCAGTGAACACAGGGGTGCATATATTCTTTCGAATTAGTGTTTTAGATTTCTTCAGAAACTGGAGAGTATCATGTTAAGTGAAATAAGCCAGTCAGAGAAAGACAAATACCATATGACTTCACTTATATATGGAATCTAATAAATAAAATAAAATAAAAAGCAAAATATAAACAAACTCATAGATACAGAGAATACACTGACAGCTGCCAGAGGGTGTGGGACTCTCTCTGGGTGAAAAGGGTGAAGGAATTAAGAAAAAAACTACATAGACAACAGTATGGTGATTACCAGAAGAAAGGGTAGTGGGGGAAATAGGACAGGTTAAAGGAGGGTAAATGGTGATGAAAGGAACTTGACTTAGAGTGGTGAACAGACAATACAATATACAGATGATGTATTATAGAATTGTACCCCTGAAACATGTAATTTTATTAACCAAGGTCACCCCAAACAAATTCAAATTTTAAAAATGTAAAAGACAAAGAAAATCCTGCCATTTGTAACAACATAGATATATATGGAAAGCATGTTTCATATTTGAATAGAAAATTATTCTATTTACTAGAGGCTCGGCGCACAGATTCGTGCCCTGGTGGGATCCCTTGGCCTGGCCTGTGGGGACCAGTGGACCTCCACGCTGCCACAGTTTGGTCTTACCAGCCAGCTTGTCTGGCTCCAGCCTGCTCTCCAGTCGATCACACACAGCATGAAGTAGTGCGCGAAGCAGCAGGCAGCCAGGGAGGATCCTGAGCCCAGGCTGGGTGCTGTGCCACTCTCACTCATCCTGGCCCCACTGTGCCTGCCACCTGCCACCACCGCTGCTGGGGTGTGCAGGGGGAGTGTCCACTGGAGAGGCTTGTGCCACCGCAGCTGCGCTTGCCAGCCGTCAGTCCAGTGTCTGGTGCCCGTGTGTCAGCTGAGCGGCGCTCCTGCTGTGGGAGCACATTGACCACCAAGGGGAAGCTCCTGCGTTGAGCATCTGCCCCCTGGTGCATGTCATAGCTACCAGCTGGTTGTCCAGTCATCCGGTCATCCGGTCACTTAGGCTTTTATATATATAGATATTTAATATTATTTGTTTGGGTCAAAATCTATCACTTACTATTTTTTTTCTATTTATAACTTCAAATATACATTACTTTTAAACCTTCTTTAAGATGAAATATATATTTTTTATTTTTCCACTTCCCCCCATTCAAGGTTATTAATTCAATATGCCTTAACCATACTTTCAATATTGAGGGAAATACTTAGTTCAGTCTATGATTGTCTAACTCAGCCGTGGGCAAACTATGGCGTGGGCCAGATCCGGCCCGTTTGAAATGAATAAAACTAAAAAAAAAAAAAAAACCGTACCCTTTTATGTAATGAGCTTGGGGGACTGGGTGAAAAAGATGAAGGGGTTAAGCAGTACAAATTGGTAGTTATAATACTCTTAATAACTATGTATGGTGCCAGGTGGGTACTGGAAGTCACTTTGTAAATATATGATTGTCCAGCCGTTATGCTGTACACTTAAAACTAATACAAAAATAATATTGAATGTAAACTGTAATTGAAAAATAAAATTAAAAACAGTCAGAGAAATAGCTATGTTATTTTGGAAATGATGGTGACAGGTACAATATAGTTAAAAATTTGATAATTTCTCAGAATAATTAGTGATGAATACCATTAAATTCTTGTTGATAATTGATTGGAATTTTTAGAAAATTTTCTATGATAATACAAATGAAATAATAAGGATATAAGAAAAAGAAGTATTTAATGCCAAGATTTAGCAACCTTGTTCAAAAATTAAATTTAAGGTACCTAACAGACATACGTTTTCAGTGTTTGTGACTGAAATGGAAACAAATGAACTGCATGGGTGGTTAAGCCTCTGTGACCTCCATATTTGTAGAATATGACGACAATTTCTCAGAGGCATTTGAAAATGAATACTCTAAATGACACACTTAGAGGTGTGATTGTACTTTCAATCTCCAAAGTCTCATATTCTGGAGATGTGTGATGTGATAAACTGATTTCAAAATAGCCAAAGTGTGAGAATTACCTTTTCAAACCTTAAGTGACATATTGATAAGATGTTTACTTTTTCCACTATTGCTTCACTCTGAGCCTTTAAAGGGCAATCTGTGAAGATCAGAGATATTGTTTAGTTTGGTCCTGAATTTATGTTTTTAAATTCTCCTTTTATTACCCAGCTATAACGGGGCTCTTTTGCGATAGTCACCTTGCCTCCCCACTAAAGGATGCGCGACTTTCTGGCCTACAGAAGGTATGTGTCCCTACTCTCCTGTCTCTCTACCAGCCCATCTCATACAGTGGGAGAAAACAAAGGCTAGCTGTGAGGGACAACTAATATACAACAAAATCAAAGTGGAAAATTAGTGTTCTTATTTGAATAATTCAGGGTAAGAAGCAACCATAAAATATGAAATATGTTGAAATATTTAAGTGTTCAAATTAGTGTCTGTAGGAAATTAATAAAGCGCATACACACATGCATAATTGGGTTTATACATCAGAATAATTTAAAGTGAAAGCAATAAACATGAGAAGGAATAATTAGTTTGGGATTTTGTAATCATTACAAGGGGATTTTTTTTGGCATAATAATATATTAATTTATATTTTGCCCAAGCTTTTAAATAGATACTTAAAAAAGAGTTCATTGCATGTTGCAGGCCAGACACAATTCCTTATACACTTATTGAGACTGATTAAAAGCAGCTTGATTTTTACTAAAAATCAGGATGAAGTAGCTTCTGTAAAAATGCTAAACTAAACTTAATTATAAACAGTCAAAATACTTTTTAAAAATTTGAACAAACAGTGCAAAAAGGATCAGCCATACTGATTAAAGAGAATCTGCTTACTGAATTATTTTACAGTGTATAATATTATGAAGTATAAATAATACCTTGGAAATTGTGACTAAAATAATACTTAAGATAATTAACATTTATTGAGAGTTTATGTGTCAGGTGGAGTGCTAAATTTTACATGCAACATATCTTACATTTTATTTCATTTTTGATTAGTAAAGTAGGTTACTTGTCAGTAGGGAAATTTTTAAAGGTCACACATTGTAAGTATCATAGACAGAATTAATTCCTGTCTCTCTGACTACAGAGCCCATTGACTGTATTATTAAATTACATTATCTAGATTACTGCAATTGTTTACACAACTAAAGTGACTTTCACTGACATTAACGACCAAAGGGTCTTCCTAAAAGTTTGAATCAACAACGTGATTCCATCAAGGACCTATACCTGACCATCTTATGGGTTTATATCCTGCCCATTAAATCAATTATCAACTATTTTTTAAATAATTATTTAAAATATTTTACTTGTTTATTTTTATTATTTTTTAGGTTATAGGTAAGTTTAGTGTGTCATGTAACTTTTTTTCAACATATAACATATTTCTTTAAATTTTTACTTATTTCTTAGAACTCATCAACCATTCAAATTAAAGACATTTGGTAACCACTTCAATAAATAAATGCAAGTCAGTAAATAAATATAATTCAGTGCAGGAAATTAATATAAATGCCAACATTACTATTTTCCACCCTTAGAGCACTTGGTCTTTACTATGGGATTTCAAATTTTTCATAAATATTGTGTCTCTTTTTTCTACTAAAACATTTAATTTCTATGACAGGCATTCTAATGGTGTCAAAATACTTCTGTGGATTTTGACTTTAAATTAATGAGGATGGTATTATTCATGTATGTCTATATTCCTCACTAATTATGTTTTTATTTCTCCAACAAATAACATATTGACAAAGGTAGAGAATATATTTTAAAGAGTACTTTACCATGAGACACTTGTTTAAACCTCTAGGGAATTTAGAACCAGAACTTCAGATTCTTCAACTTAGAAGTGAGCCCTATACTCAACCTCTACCCCGCCCAGTTTTCCTGTAAGGGAGCTCTGCATTACAGGTACCAATTATTCATACATACGCTTAACTTAGAGCACAGTTTCAAACACCACCCAGCTGCAGAGATGAATAACCAAAGAGTAACCTATGCAGAACTGAATTTGGCCAAGTCAGCCAAGAGACAGCAAAGGAAACCTAAGGGCACTCAAAGCTCCATTCCAGTAACTGAGCAGGAAATAACCTATGCAGAATTAGCTCTTCAAAATGCTTCCCAGGATCTTCAAGAGAGGGACAAGAAGGACCACTCCAAAGGTAACACATTCAGTATAACTGTTCTAGTCTGTGAAGCTGGGGTGCAGAGATGTGGGGAAAGTACTGCATTAGCTCACATATTTTTCATTTGTGAGAATCAGCGCTTAAAGTTGTAATACAGTATTCTCAAATTTTTCATAAATATTGTGTCTCTTTTTCTACTAAAACATTTAATTTCTATGACAGACATTCTAATGGTGTCAAAATACTTCTGGGGATTTTGACTTTAAATTAATGAGGATGATATTATTTATGTATGTCTATACTCCTCACTAATTATGTTTTTATTGCTCCAACAAATAACATATTGACAAAGGTATAGAATATATTTCAAAGAGTACTTTACCATGAGACACTTGTTTAAACCTCTAGGGAATTTAGAACCAGAACTTCAGATTCTTCAACTTAGAAGTGAGCCCTATACTCAACCTCTACCCCGCCCAGTTTTCCTGTAAGGGAGCTCTGCATTACAGGTACCAATTATTCATACATACGCTTAACTTAGAGCACAGTTTCAAACACCACCCAGCTGCAGAGATGAATAACCAAAGAGTAACCTATGCAGAACTGAATTTGGCCAAGTCAGCCAAGAGACAGCAAAGGAAACCTAAGGGCACTCAAAGCTCCATTCCAGTAACTGAGCAGGAAATAACCTATGCAGAATTAGCTCTTCAAAATGCTTCCCAGGATCTTCAAGAGAGGGACAAGACGGACCACTCCAAAGGTAACACATTCAGTATAACTGTTCTAGTCTGTGAAGCTGGGGTGCAGAGATGTGGGGGAAAGTAGGGCATTAGCTCACATATTTTTCATTTGTGAGAATCAGCGCTTAAAGTTGTAATACAGTATTCTAAGATGAAAGCTGAGGATGGATTCTATTCAGGTATTGCTGTAAGGTGTAGTTTTTGGCCAACAATCATGGAGCATTGTATCTCCTGAAAATGCAATGGTATATTCTGAGAGGAAGATTACAGTGGTAGGTATGGGTCTAGGATCCAAGTTTATGTATTTGATTCCCTGTATGTAAACTGTCTAAAACAATTGTCTCTCTCTCTCCTTTCTCAGTGTTTCAATTTCTCTCCTTGCAGTTTCACCATCACCTCCAGAGAAGCTCATTGCTGGGATCCTAGGGGTCATCTGCCTTGTCCTGATGTCCGCTGTGATAAGGGTAACTGTTACTCCCTGTAAGTAAATTTTTGTAAGATTATACAGCACTTTTCACTTTAATGATTACCAGTGCCTCTAAACAATTCATAATATTATGGAATAGAATTTTCATATTAAAGCATGCATTTAGAATAAATGTGGAATGGTTATTCTGAGTTTAGCAAATGCATAAATAACATAATGTTTGTAAAGAGTATTTTACATATAGTCATATATTTGATTTCATATCTCAAAGACATGCTTTAGGAGAATGAAAGACCTTATAAAGAAATACAAATTCATATTGAGATTGGTTAAACCCATACTGTAAGAGATGGTGAAGTTTGGTTCTTTAGGCTTTTAAAATATTTTCCTCTAACTCTTTATTACTGTATTAATTTTTCTTGGTAAAATCAATTTTATTACAGATAATTCTCCTCTGAGACAACACAACAAACTTCAAACTAAGAAACAAAAATTATTATGATTTCTTTAGATTAATTGATATTTTAAGAATTACTTTAATTTTTTAATTTTTTTTAGCTACTGTAATACTGGAGAAGAACAATTATTCCCAAACAACAAGTAACCAGAAAGGTACATAATAATTTTCAAAGTTCTGATATTAGCAAAGTTTATATTTTGTCTCTATCTTAGGCTAGGCAATAATGATAATAGACTCTTTTGGGAGAACATAAATTATAAAATAAGCAATACATGTTCATAAATAATTATTATAAGAGAGTGCTCCTTCTTCTGCAACATTATGAAAAATCATCAATTTTAAATTGCCACATCCATTGTTGCTCTTTGGCTTAAATTCCCTACTGCTATAATATAATAAGAGACAAGTGATTTTACTGTTCTTAAAAAGTAGTTTCAGTCATCGGCTCTTAGGACATGTATAGATTGGATAATTTGTTTATGTGTTTGCTTTATATGGGCACAGAAATTAGGGGATATCTGGCATACCCTTTTCTGTGAGTGTGTTTTGTTTTATATGTACCAGCCAGGGAGGATGCATAGGTATATTATGTACCTATGTGTTTATACCTATGTAAGTGTGTAAGTTAATTTTCATTTTTAAAACTTCAAATTGTTATTGGATTATAATTCTTAATCTTCCTTTAGCATATCATTGTGAACATTGTCCACTGGAGTGGTTTATGTATTCCAACAATTGCTATTACTTTAGTACTGAAAATAAAACATGGAGTGAGAGTTTGCTGGCCTGTGCTTCTAAGAACTCTAATCTGCTTTACATAGATAATGAAGAAGAAATGGTAAGATGTTAAACATTTCATATACTTTATTAAAGGCTTATTTCAGTCAATAGTATATTTGTAGAATTCACATTTTTATACATACTTGTAGTTATTTAAAGTCTGTATAAAATTTCACTGTTTGAGTTTATAATCTACTAATAAGAGGGTAATATGCTAATTAGACCGGATAGACCTGACATCTTCCAGACGTCATTCCAGATGTCCTACTTGACAAAGCCTGGGCCCAGACAAAGCTGCCCGGGGTCCCGGGTGACTGCGGCCAGCAAGAGGGAGGGAAGCCCAGATCCCAGTTGCCCGCAGCCAGCCAGAAGAGGGAAGCCAGGGTCCCAGGTGCAGGGGCAAAAGGCAGAGGTGGATAGGGACGATCAGGCAGGCAGGCAAGCAGTTAGGGGTGACCAGGCAGACAGGTGAGTTGCTAAGGGAGATCAGGCAGGCAGGCAAGTGGTTAGGGGCGATCAGGCAGGCAGGTAGGTGAGCGGTTAGGAGCCAGTGGTTCTGGATTGTGAGAGGGATGTCCAACTGCTGGTTTAGGCCCAATCGCACAGGAGTTGGGCCTAAATCGGCAGTTGGACATCCCCCGAGGGGTCACAGATTGTGAGAAGGTGCAGTCTGGGCTGAGGGACCTCCCCGCCCCCACCGTGCATGAATTTCATGCCCTGGGCCTCTAGTATTTTATATTTTTACTAGAGGCCTGGTGCACAAATTCGTGCAGCAGTGGGGGCCCTCAGCCTGACCTGTGGGATTGGGCCAAAACCAGCTCTCTGACATCCCCTGAAGGGTCCCAGAATGCAAGAGGGCGCAGGCCAGGGGAGGAATGGCTTTTTTGAGTCACATCCTATTTCTAGGTTGGGTATTGGAAACAGTAAGGCCTACGTTGCTTTCTTCTGTTGGGTGGGATATAAGATCCCCTGCCACTCTGCTGGAATACCAAACCTTTTACTCTTTCTCATTCCACCTTTCAGAGTTCTCCTTTACTTGTGTCTTTCATTAATTAGTTCCTGAATTTAGAGTTCTAATTAGCAGGAAAATGAGTCTCTGACACCTTGGCCACTGGATTCCACCAACACAGAAACAGGTCAATTTGGACTTTATCTGGTTAAAGAATGTTGTGAGATACAGAGAATGTTTCTTTGTTTTTTTGTTTTTGTTTTTGTTTTGCCTTCATGTCATTTATTTTCTTAATTACAATCCCCTTTTTAAAAAACCTGCTATCTGAGAAATAGTAGAAAGTGACATTGATTTAGTCATGGTATCAAATACTTTAAGTATTTGGAAACTTATTTTAAGCTTTGTTATGTTAGTTTTGTCAACATGGGTAACTACTAAATTACATGAATCAGAATTTTTCTTATTAAATTAAGAAGAAGAATGAGACCATTAAACATAAATATTTGAGTTAATTTTAAATCAAATGTACAAACATTGCTGACAGTTTTTGAAAATATGAAAAGTGATTTTAATATATCCTTAATAAAAAGTCTTAATATATCTTTATTGTTAGATTAGGATCCAACAATCTTATTTTGTTCTCAAAATGAAGGATTTTTTTGAAAGAATACACTACTTGCTGTACAAAAATAATCTTTCATGATGATTATTTAAATAAAAATTCTTTATTTTGGGGTAGGAATTTCTGAGATCCATATTACCTCCATCATGGATTGGAGTTTTTCGTAGCAGCAGTGATCATCCTTGGATGTTGATAAATGGTTCACCTTTCAAACTAAAGTAAGTAGTTTTTTTAAATGCTATATAAAAGGAAAATTTTAAAAAAATAAAAATTCTCAAGAGTATTATTATTTTGTTTAAGTTGAATTATAAACATGAAGAATATTAGTCCAAGTTGATGAAAAGTTGATATAAATATTAAAGAATGACTATCTAATTTTCCTAATAACCAACTCTTACTAATATTCTATGAAAAATATTATTACCCATTTTCAAAATATTCTGTGATTACAGTTACATGGAAATGCTATTTGTTGTTTCATGGACTGGTCCCTCACAATAAAAACAAAATAATGCATTTTTCTCCATTACAGAACAGAAGACTTATCATCTGGTAAAGGGGACTGTGCTCTGCTAAACCTATATGGCCTCACGTCATGGAGTTGTGAAGCTTCAAAAATATATAGTTGTAAGCATAAGCTTTGGGGTTTGGATTCTGTTGGGTAACTTTATTTTTCATGAAATGGAAAGAATGTTATGATTGCACATGTCTTCAAATGAATTATATCACTTGTTTTATAATGAAATAATTTTCTATAACAATTATTGGAAAATAACATACACATCCAAAAGTGCAGATATTCATTGCTGTTAGTGTCTGACGTGTTTAAATCAATGTTGTATTTGTGGCATTCAACATTTCTAAATGATCTTATGTTGTGTGAGTCACTTTAAATGTGTTATCAAGAATAGGCCAACCCACAGAGGCAGAAGGTAGGTTAGTGGTTGCCAAAGGTTGAAGGGAGGTAGGTAACAAACGAATGCTAATTGGTGCACTGTTACTTTTGGGGGCTGGATACTTTCCAAATTTTGTTAGTAGTGATGGTTGCAAACTCTGTTGAATATACTAAAAATCGCTGACATATATACTCTACATGGATGAATTTTTTTGCTTTGTAAATTAAACCTCAATACAGCTGTTAAAAAACAGTTGAGGTTATGTTAGGGACTGCATTTAAACTTTAAATAATTTATAAAGATGTAATTTTACAATATTGATTCTTTCAATCAATATCATGCTTTATCCCTCCATGATTAGACTTTTTTTAATTTCTCTGTTTAAATTTTTTTTATATTGAAGTCAAAGAAATATGATTCTTCTATAGTTGTGATTTTGTAAATGGTATACTTTTTAAAAATTTCTTTAGTAACTTTTGCTGCTTTAAACATAATTGTAGTTGAGGTTTGCTATTGACTTTTGTGTTAATCCCATCATTTCAAATATACATTCTTCTGCATAGTATATATAGTTACTTTATTTCTTTTTCCCTGGTGCAATTTTTTTCTTTTCTTGACTTATCTTCATAGGCTGAAGTTTTATTTCCAATGTTGAATAGTAAGGACAGTTAAAGTGTTGTATGTGTCCTCTATTTTCGGGGAACACATTTAAATATTTCATCCTTAAGTATGAGATTTGTTTTAAAGTTTTTTCAACAGACCTTTCTCTTATAAAAGCAATTCCATAATATTGCTATTATTCTAATATATTTTTATAATGATGTCACATTTTTATTATTTTTGTGTCAGTTGAAATGATAAATGTTTTCTCTGTATAATGTTTATGAAGTAAACTACCTTTATTTCTTTTAACTGTTAAATAAATCTTGCATTTCTGAAACAAAACCACAATGGTTAGTTTGTATTGTCCTTCTTCAAAATTCAGTGTATATATTATACTTATATTAAGCTGTTTTTCTTTCATCCAGGTTCACAAAGAAGTTTAGAATGAGTTTTTATTTGTTATGGACTTGACAGGTTTGCATACCAAGGCTATATGAAAAGCATTCCTTTTTTCTATTTCCTGGAAGCCTTTGTATAAGAGCACTGCTATATTTTTAATGTTATTTTTCATTACTGATGCTGAAACCAAAAATGTGGGTGTTCTGAGTCCCATTTGTTGTCTCACAAAAATCGAAGAATGAAGTTGCAGACAAAAAGGATTAAAGGAATCAAAGTTTATTGGGAGAAGCCAGTCCTGGAAAAGGAGCAGCCAGGGTTCCAGGAGTAGGCCATGTCTGGAGCTTCCTCTGCATGTTACAGTCTAGAGTAGTTTAGTATCCAAGCTAATGAAACTCTATTAGTCCTTGTGTGGAGGCCCATTCTCATATATAAAAAGCCAGGGGCCGTCAAGACCTAAACAACCAGACCGACAACCAAACAGCGGGCTGCCAGCGGGAGGGAGTTTCCCCTGGCCCTGGCCCTGGCCTGGGTGCGGCAGCAGTGAGAGGGAGCTCTGGGCCCCAGCCAGGGCTTGGCAGAACTCTTGGTCTCACATGATTGGGGGCATTGCCGGCCTTCAAACCAGACCCTGACAGGAGGGGGGAGGGAGCCCCATTTCTCACAGAATCAGCCATTGCACAGTTTTCTGTCAATGGCCTGCCAGCCAGGAATCCCAACCCCCTGCACCCCGGACCCTGATCTGACACTGGCCTCCCATTTAAATTAATTGGAAGACAGTTTCTGTGATGCCAGCATTTGCAATGACTATTAATAAATCACAATAACAAACTCTAGACAGAGTAGGAATATTCCTAC